AGCTCCTCCCCTCCTTCTTCAACCAAGCAAACTTCCATGGGTATCTTTGGCACCACCTCTTGTTGCTCGATCTCAATCAGTATACCCTTGGCGCAGTCACTCTCTGTCACTGTGTTCTGACTGCTTGAGGACAGCACACTGGTCTTCTGCCTAGATAGCATCAGATGTTCCTTTGGGTTGCTTTAAGGATTTAGGATGAGGTTGGAAAGAAATGGCTATGGTGCCAGTTCAGCTCCTCCTCTCACTGACTGTTAATATTTATTTTGCTTAGGGGAATTAAGTTGCATCTCTCAAAAATACCACACAGCCTTCAATGGAATAATCTTTTCACTACTGGAGCATTATAAGGACTATTGTGCTTGATCAGATGAACATATAAGAAAGGCTGAACATATGACATAAATTTCTGCCAACATACTTACTGTGCTCTCAGTATTTGCTTCTCAGCCTTAGCACTGCAGCCATCCTCAAAAGGGAAGGTTTGCTAGATTACAGCATAGGAAGATTGTAAGAGCTTGGACATATTTGCTGATGAATGGTGATTGAGCAGAAACCACAACATAGCTCCCAAGTGCTGGTGGTAGAGGCAACAAAAATCTAGCAGTGTATGGAAGACATGAAATTTAGTCTCCTGAGTTTATAAAAGATCAGAGGAATGACAGTGATATAGTGACATGCTTCAGATTTCTTGGTAATAGACCTGATCCAAATATTTATGCTGTTAGATGCTGTTAGCCCTGCTTAGCAGATCTTGCTTTCCTCAAATTTAACATGTCTAAATAATATAGGCACCTCCCCACCATGAAAAAAAAATCCATATACATACAATCTCTTTAATCCCCCAAATTTCATATCATTTGACAAGCATCTCAGGAATAGTAATATTATGTTTCCAAAAAAATGTAAAAAATGTGTAAGCAGCAGTCAAAACGTTGGTGTTAATTGGGTGTCATGAGAAGATACATAGCTCTGAAATCCCTCTAGCACCAATGTAATGGGGTTACAATTTCAAGAATTACAGCTCACCTTTGGATAATCTACCGTATTAAAATTTTAATAGCTATTCAAAGACATTATACTATTTTACAGCCAACACCGAATACAATCAAAACACAATATATATACACAGAAGGATGAATAGCTTATTCCACTCATCTGGGTTTTATCAAAGAGGTCCCTTTTATCAGTGAAATGGGTTCTGTTCGCAGAACAAGGGGTGGGGTAGGCTTGCCTATTTCCTGGTGCTGCCCATGTTCTTAACATCTGAAGGTCTGGGGGGATCCTTTGGAGCAGAGTTGGGGGTGTTTGGACAGAGACAAAGAAAAATGATTGTGTAAATGAAAGTCCACACTTATGATTTTGGATTTCTTTCATGAATACTGGTCCCTATAGCATGGCTCACCCAGACTTCATCCTTGCAAAAATGTCTCAGCTCCTGGAAGCCTTCACCTTTTAACTAGGCTGGAATTCATCTTTACATTACACTGCAGATATGCTCTACATTGTTTTAGTACAAAAAGCACCTTCAAGACAGAGAGTGGACTTCCAGCCATTTCTGGTTTCCTTTCTTTTCCTTTTCTTTTTTGCTTGGTGGAAATTTTTCCTGAGGGAAACAAAAATGTGTCCTGGACTGGTCAAAGTTGCCCACCATTGCTTTACAACTTTAAAGGGCCACATGTGAGTCAATGGTCTGTCCAAAATCCCCCTCTCCTAGTACATTAACACCAAAATCCCATTCAGATGAACCTCTCATGCCATAGACCGTGAGTCATTTGATATTTGTGTTGCTTTTACAATTTTCTCAGTGGGAGGCCCTGTTTGTGCTGTGGAAACACTTGCTCAGTGGAGTCTCAGTAGAAGCCTGGCATAAAAAGATAATCTTTGGAAAACCATGTGATTGGTGGTTGCTTGAACATATAATGAACCTGGGAAATTATTGCTAGTACTTATTAAAGAAATTACTGTATAAAGGTATGTTCCAGGGGCAATTTGAATAATTTCTTTTTTCTTTTTAAAAGCCAGGGACAAATGCTTAGCATTTGTGTTCATTTGATGAACACAACCTATATTTTAGCTCAAAAATATTGGAAGGAAACAATTCAAAGAATGAATGGCTATGGAGTGCTGGCGAACTGGAGGAATGGTGAAAACTACATATTATAAAGGACTCTGGGGAGAGACTCAATCTATGCTTGTAAACAGATGGAATCCTTTTTCGATGTCCTTGAATAGTGTAATGAAATGGCCAGGCATGGTTTTGTTTTGGAGAAAATTACAGCCCATCCTGTCAGTAAAGATTGTACCTCCTAAACCTAATGTTTGGGGCGGCAGCAGGGAGAACAATCTTTAGGTAGTGGCACTTCCTGTGATTTTGGGCTTTACACTAATAAGTAATATTCACTAAAGTTTTGTGCACGCAGTAGGGTTAACCAGCATTTTCTCTAGAATGAAAAATATACCCCCCCTCTCCCTCCCTCCCCCTCTCTCTCTCTCTCTCTCTCTCTCTGTGTGTGTGTGTGTGTGTGTGTGTGTGTGTGTGTGTGTGTGAGAGAGAGAGAGAGAGAGAGAGAGAGATCAGGGCTGTGACAACTTCTAGTCAACTAGAAATCACATCCTGCAATAATCAGGTCTCTCATCTTCAGCTATACCTCCTGCTTCTACAGTACTCCTAAATATTTGTGCTTTTAGCTTTAAATATTGCGTTTTAATGATGTACACCACCTTTGAGTACTTGTTTTGTTCTTAAATATTGTAAGCCATGTCGGGTCCTTTTCTAAGGAGAAAGGCAGGGTAAAAATAAAATAAATATATCCAGAGCATTAAGATCCCAATAGCCATCTGATGTATGAAGGTGGGAGAGTCATCAGAGCCCTTCTGAGGGAGCAAAAGAATAAAGGGTGGTCTGAGGGATGTTTAGAAGTGCTGCATTAGTAAGAAAGTAATCTATCTTTATTTGTTAAGATTTGTGGATTTTGACTTTGTGGTGAAAACCCATCAGGGTGATTAATGAGATTTAGCATTTTAAAACACTGTATTAAAATAAAGTGGCTTTCAGGCTGTAAATTTCCAACCCCAAATATCAAAAAATACTTATTTCTCAGAAGGCAGTGTATTCATTTCTCCCAATTATTTTTCCCTTTGTTGTTTTGTTTCTGTCTATAATATATCGAGCACAGTTGAAAGTTGGACTCTTTCAGATTTGAACAGATTAACTTGCTTGAATCGAAATATATATGTTAAAAATTCCTTCATACAAGTTTCCCTTGGAATTTCAGCAAGAGCAGGGCAGGAGCTGTGGTGTGTAGTATGACAAGATGTAAAACCTTCCAGCGAGGTCCCCTTATAAATATTTATTCCTGCAAATTTCTTTAAAGAAATTAAATTATGTGTTCTATAGAAAAAAGACGAGAAAGGCTTTTAGTGTCACTGACTGCAAATTGAAGTCATTTGTCTAGGAGGGTCAGGTGCCACTTTATGGTAAGGATTTGTCTAAGATCCAAGTGAAGAAAGATTGATGGCACACAGAGATTGATGAAAAGAGCAATGCAATATGCATATGGAGTACTGGGTTAATTAGGAAATTTTAAACCAGAAAGTTTCCTTTGCACAAAGTGGTATGAAGCAGAAGCTGTTTCTTTTAGGACCAGGCTGGGCTGGCAGCTATGTGTATTTAGGGGTTGCTATCCTGAGATATTTTAGTGGGAAGTGGGTGAGTGTGAATACCAATGAGGAGAGTGATCTAGTGCTGCATACATTCTATTGTTAATGAGAGTTGCTTAGCCATTTTTAAGGTGAATATACATTCTTTTGTTGTCAGCTCTCTTCTCATTAACATAAACCAAAAGCTACCTGCATTTTTCATTGCTTGAAATACATTGTTGGGTTTTTTTAAAACTAGAACAATTTGTTGGATTGCATTCTTCTGCCTTCCTCACAGAGACCTCCTCTGCCAGTAATCAGATTTCTAACAAATCTCAACTGCTGCCTGAACTATTACTATTTCTCTTATACAGAGTATGAAAAAGTAAAGATTTTGCTTTCTGTCAGATTCTGCATAAATGTACATGAATAGTGCATGACACCAATAGGGCAGTATATAAATGAAATAAATAAATAATAAACCTAAACAAGCTCAATTAGATGGGTGTACTTATTGTAGAATTGAACATGGCAACCCAACTTTTATGTAAATTCTAATAATTCAGTAAGCTGTTCTAGTTAGAAGGAACAGCTGGATTTGAGTCGTTCCCTAGGAATAAAATATCCAAATATTCCAAGTATTTTTTATTTTATTGATTTTGAAGCTAGAAATAATGGTGGTAAATCAAAGTTACAGTAGGCCCATTGAATCAGTGGGGATTTGACGTATCAGTTCCTCTGTAAATTTCATTGATTCAGTGGGCCTGTTCTACTTGCAGTTTACTATGGCTTCAGCGAATGTTTTCAAATGGTAATATATGTAGGTGTTTAAGTTCTTTTAAAAGCATTTTCATTGTTACCAAAGTACATACATAACATTCAGTTCATAAAACAGCAAATCCACAGGATGAGACTGAAGGATTGCAAAGAGTGTCAATTCACTGTGACCAATTAAGCTTTTTTCCACAGTTCAGCATGTGATGCAGAAGGAGAATTGTCCTTTTTGTATAAATTTAGAATATGTGTAAATGTGAATGGACTTTGTATTAATCAAAGTCCAAAACAAAAATGTATTTGGTACTTGAGAAAGAAAATGGTGACAAAAAAACCTTGATTCATCAGAAATGTAATTTGGTCAGTTTGGCTATAAAGCCTTGCTACACTGCAGCATCTTCTCAGGCTACTAACAATTAGTGGAAATTAAGATACACTGAGCTCAGTGGGATTTGCACTATGTAAATCATAGAGGATTTCATTATTCATGCATTTTCTATAGAAGCAGAAAGACTTTCTCATATGTGGTTTTTAGCAAACAACTTGCAATGGATGCTAATATTTTAACATTTATTTTCATTTCACAGAAGCCAAAACAGAAGGACTGGCATCCTCCTGGGGGATTTATTTTAGGACTCTGGGCACTCATTATCATGGTCTTCTTTAAAACCTATGGAATCAAGCACATGAAACATGTCTTCTAGAACCTCAGAGCAACCAAGATGTCTGCAGTGAATGCATCCTTGCATGGAAAATAAAAGTTTAATGGATAAAGAGTGCTCAAGTCTCCTGCCTGCAAATTCTCATTACATTGCATTTCTCTTCCTTATTATGATCTTTACATCTTTCACTTCATATTTTGGCTTTTTAAAGACATATGTTTAATACCAGTTTAGACACAATTGTGTACGATATCAGAGACCGTTCACACAAAGTCCTCCATTTGTTCTGATGACACGAACTCTCTAAGGAACAAGTGCAGGGGCATTCCAAGGTGTAGAAACAAGATTTAAATAGTGACTGACTTACTGCCAGGAGGAAAATCTGTCTGCTCTACAGGCGAGGAATACAAAGTGTTTCTGTCCTGAATGGGACTGCAGAATGGATGAGATGTAGCATTAGGCCTTACTGCCACTCAGTTCTTGCAGAGCAGACACCTGAAGTCCAAGTATTTTTTGCCTTTCCCCAAACGATCAGCAACATCCAAGTTCACTTTATTGATTTTTTTTTTTTTTTAAGGAAAGGTCTTTGTGTGGAGGAGCAAGGTCCTACATCTTTCAGGGAAAATCTCAAGTCACACTTTGTAAGTTGTACCAAAAGCTTTTTCGCTCAGGCTGCATTGAGTGTACTGGTAGTTGCAGAACAGAACTTCCACATATTACTTTTGTTTACTACAGCTCACAGAAACCCCTCACAGCTAGCATATAGGATGGGGGATTTGGGGAGATGCTATTCAAAAAAACCACAAAAAAACAAAAACAAACGTATTCCACATTTGTGTGCAGAGATATTTTAAAAAAATATGTAATCATCTTAGATGCACCAAGGAAGTGTGCCTTTACTATTAATTAAAAATTGTTTACCCCACCAGTGAAATGAAAGTCTTGACAGCATACAGAACCATGTTTAAGATGTCATTTTATCAATATAAACTTAAGTCACTTTGTGGACTTTTGCCGTGACATATTGAATACTTGCTCAACAGAAACAAAAATACTGTAGGGAATATTGATTTCTTCTGTTAAATACAGCCCATTAGATCAATCCTTTTACCTAGGGCAATTTTTCTTCTTAGATTCAATGAATCATATAGAATTGAATACAACAAAGGGACCAAGCAAAGACCTCCCTGAATCAACATGAAGAGCAAAACTACCCATGGCTTGAAAATATAGTCTCTTCATGATCAGCAAGAAGACACACACCCTTAGATGTTCTAAAAGCACATTATGTCCTGAATTCAGTATGGTAGATGAAATATGCTGTGTACTCATACATTTGCTGTGTACATAGAAGAACATGTTAGTAAAATGCTAAAGAATATATCCTGAGGCGCCTCCATCGCCGTCCATGCCATGAGGGAACAGGCCGGGTAGGTGGGACTCGTTCAGCCCTGGAAGGCAGCCCATCTAGGAGAAGGAAAACCAGTTTCAAATCCCCGCTGAGGCGCCACCATCGCTGTCCATGCCATGAGGGAACAGGCCGGGTAGGTGGGACTCGTTCAGCCCTGGAAGGCAGCCCATCTAGCAGAAGGAAAACTCTGACTTCAAACCTCCACTGCCTTGTGGCTGTATCGATTGATGGAAAAGGCTTCAGAAGTCAACCTTGAGGCAAAATCTGGAGCCAGAGTCCCGGAGGCAGTTCATGTCATTCTGTCAACTCCTGTGATGTCACTGAAACCAGTTGTATTGGCTCTTGCCTTTCCATTGGACTATTTCAGTGATGTGGAGAGGGGGGATTTGCTGGTTGGGTAACAGCCTATCCTCCACATTATTTTACCCAGGCTTCGTGCCCTGGAGAGGACACTCCAGCTTCGCGTACAGCGTCAAAACACTAGACGCTGTTCCAAGTCCTCCATATGGAGCACGTTACCATAGTCTCTCGAGACTGAAGGATGCCTATGATATCCTGTTAAGTCTACATATTTGAAAACAAAAAGCTCTACCTTATGTTGTTTGTAATATTTGTTTGTTTTTGAGGTTTAGTTTTTATTGCTGAATTAAATGTGTCCAGAGAAAAAAATGAAAGTGTACATAAGAACTGCTTGTCTCAGAACACTTTTTAGATGGGCCATAACAAGTCCTGTCAAAATACAATATGTGATGAAATTTATCCAGTCAGTCCTTAAATAGAATGGTCCCAGTATAGAAAATTGCCACATATATATAACTGCAGATCTGTATAATGAGGATGTTGGGGAAAAATGTATGTTTGTGGTGATACACCATCTGTCTATTTCAGGTGGATATAATATAAATCTGTCCTTAAGCACTGTTGCTCTTTCACGAGTATTGCAGAAGTGTGCTGCCCTATTTTGTAGAATGAAAACTGGACTATACAAAATGGAACAGACTTCAGACATTGATTCTTACCTCTGTGTGTTTAGTAGGGTTCTGTTGAGTGAGTGGAGGCGCACAGAAGAGAGGGGGAATGCATTATAGATAAAAGTAGCCTTCTACTATCAAATTCTGTTCGTTAAGAACTGAAGATGGTCGAGTAGAATCGAAAGATGCCTTCCTTCCATAAAAAGCTTCTGCTCATCAGAGAAGGCCTTTTTCTGATGTTTTAGAGCAGGATTGATTTGTCTGTTACTTGGAAATGGAATAATGTACTGTAATTCTTTCTCTCCTTCTTGATAATGTATGAAATTTATACTATAAATAGCTGGTTGCTGAGAATCAATGTATGGCCACAAAAGTTTTGATTGTATGATATTCATGATGACTGGACAGCTAAAGTACAATAAGCGTGAAATAGGCTTTTATGTCTTCAGGTAAAAGAAAACTTTTTCAAAATAGATGGTCTTGCAATGTTTTTGGTTTTGTCTATGAAAAATAGGCTTCTCAGACATTGACCCAGACCCATGAATTCAGTTCACTTTAAAAATGAAGCAATACAGAAATGGTCACTGGAATGTAAGTTAAAAATAGTGTATATTTTGAACTGTATACAGTGTTGTCTGAACTTCTCTTTAAAGAACTTTCAATGTAACATTGTGGCGTGCGGTCTCTCTTCCCTCCACTTTCCAAATTATTGTGTTTTTAAATATAATAAATCTATTTTATGGACAGAAGTCAGTCATATCGGAAAATAGACAGGTAACATGAAATTAGCAGTCTTCCTTCAGTTGTTATTAAACTCTTCTCATTTCCACTTCATGGGCCTCGTCAACCCCTGTTGCTTAACTTAAAAACTGTCCATCTGAGTAAAAGCAGCAGACTTTGGATGGATTCTGGGGAAACATAAAGATACAAGTCAAGACGTCCTTCTGAAAAGATAATCTGCTTAGGGAAAAGAAGCAATTAGGTGGGTTATTAAAATGCAATTTATGAAACGGAAAAAGCAGTAAGTATGCCGGCAAAGCTGATTAACAGAGGTGAGGAAAGCAATTAGATTGAAATGCAGCAATCCATGCTCAATGAGTTTTGAGGGTAAGATTTCTTTGTGCACAGGCTATTGGATTGTAACATTCACTATCTTTTCTGATGCCTAGAGTGCTCAGTAGTCTAATACTCAGGGCTCTTTTATTAACTAGGATGAGGTGTATGAAAGGATGCTGGTGAAATCTCCTGCCACTAAACCTTGGTTGCTGTACTGAGCAGGCTCAGGGGCCATGGAATGCTGAGCGATGGGGTACATGGGTATGGAAAACAAGGGAGAGTCTCAAAGGAGAGGTAATGCGGTGGAGTATCCTGGAAGGAAGCATGGCTGGCATGGCAGCGTTTGGCTGAAATCCCAATTGTTTCCCTTTTTCTTTGGGCATCATTAAATGAAGTTTATCAGTAGAGCAAGTACATTTTTTACTGTAGTAAATGAAATGGGCAGGTAAGGTAGTATGATGAATGTATCCCATCTGCCTTAATATTACATGGCACTACCATTCATATCATTGGGTGTAAAATGCATGTTAACAGCCAAGTAACATATCAAGATGATACCACTATCATCTCTGTATTCCCCCCCCCCCAATGATAGTCTTTGGCCTGGTGAATAAAAGGCCTCTAATGTCCAATACAATAAGGTTTTAAAAAATGGAAACTGGCATTGGTGTTGATTTCTCTTCTTCTGCTGCTGCTGATTTATGGAGATGTGTGCATAAAGTTTGTGTTGCTTGCCACTGTGAACTGCAGCTAATTGATGAGCTGCTGTGATAACATCCCCAATTATGCACCGTGTCGATTAGTGGCAGTCAGACTGGCAAGTGACACAAAGCTTACATGAGCACAAATAGGATTCTGACCATAATTTAAATTTTTCGTTATAGGTTGGATTTAACGGAAGATCTGTATTTGTGCCTAGAGCGGTAGTGTTCATGGAAGACCTACTTATGCTTCTGTAAATAGCTTTGAGAAGAATCCTATGCGGGAAAAGCAAACACTTAAAAAAGTCTGCTTTGAGTGCATCAGTTTTCACAAGCTTCGTATCATATACTTCCTCCCTGCAGAGGGAGTATTGGGATGCTTTTAAAAGGGAAAAAATGGAAGAAAGAAAGGGCAAGCCAACTCCTAGTGCAATTCAAAGCTGTCCTCATGCGAGTTGTCTTTTGCCCAAGAAGGAAAGCCATTGTAAGGTGAAAAGAAATGGGGCACCCACCCACCCTAGTATTACAACTATTAATACTGGAAGGTGTCCAGAATGTCTTTAGACACTAGTGCCCAACATCCTGCCCCCAAGAAAAGGAAGAAAGAAGTGAGGTGGCTGAGAGAAATAAGGAGAGATGGGGTGATGATCTACAGGGAGGTTCGGAGGCACAATGTGGTACAGCTTTCCTTTTAGAGAGCCATATTTTCCAAAACACAGGAAGTAATGATTCTGCATCCTGCAATCAAGTCATTGGAGGTAAGGTAGCGATGGAATGTCTATTTAAAGGAATGTTTTCAAACTTTGGGTCCTCTCCCACTCAAATTCCTGCATTAAATAGAACTACTTGTTCTTCAGGGACAAGGTTGGGGCTACTGTCATATATTAATAACAGGATATAAAGTGTTGCCTGAATGCTGTACTGGGGGATAAAATCTTAATAGTAGGCACTCTGACCTCCATTCCTTTAATCTAATTTGTTTACATGGTTGTTTATTAGATATTTCATATAATTTATTTACATGTTTTATGGAACAGGAAGTTAGTGCTGGGAATTGTATTTTTATTTTTCAAGCTTTATTATCTAAAGTTCTTTTCTTTGATAGGGAAGTAACTTCAGATAGTAATTCTCCTGCCCCCAAGAAAAGGAAGAAAGAAGTGAGGTGGCTGAGAGAAATAAGGAGAGATGGGGTGATGATCTACAGGGAGGTTCGGAGGCACAATGTGGTACAGCTTTCCTTTTAGAGAGCCATATTTTCCAAAACACAGGAAGTAATGATTCTGCATCCTGCAATCAAGTCATTGGAGGTAAGGTAGCGATGGAATGTCTATTTAAAGGAATGTTTTCAAACTTTGGGTCCTCTCCCACTCAAATTCCTGCATTAAATAGAACTACTTGTTCTTCAGGGACAAGGTTGGGGCTACTGTCATATATTAATAACAGGATATAAAGTGTTGCCTGAAAGCTGTACTGGGGGATAAAATTTTAATAAAGTTCTTTTCTTTGATAGGGAAGTAACTTCAGATAGTAATTCTCAATCTTGGGCCTTCCAAAGCTTTTTTGGCTTCCAACAGCAAAAGGTCCAGTCCAACCTGGCAAGTGTAGGGAAGTAACTTCAGATAGTAATTCTCACTCTTGGGCCTTCCAAAGCTTTTTTGACTTCCAACAACAAGAGGTCCAGTCCAACCTGGCAAGTGAAAAGCAAATCTGGAAGCTGAAGTCCAGAACATCCACTTCTCTAGATACTGATACTGTGATTTCAGTGTTCATATTAATGGCAGGAAATAGGGCAATAGTTTTAGTGCTGAATTGTTACAAGACATGGAATAAATCCTGCTAAACTAATGTACTGTTCTTGGATTTCATAAGGGATTTGGATGAGATGGCCTACAAGGCCCTTTCTGATTCTGATTCTATGATCTTTTGACAAAATGCCCGTCCAGTTCTCATACTAAAACCATTGTGTACCTTATCAATTTCAAATGTCAGAAAACTGCCTTTTACATAAAGCTTAGTCCAGATAGATCACAAACATATGCATGCTTGTATATATACCTCTGCTGTTAGCATCTCTCTTATACTTTGGATGAATAAGTGTGAGAGCAAAATAGCTTTCAAAGAAAATTCAGGTATAGAAAAATAGAGCACAACACAGTCAGGTTCTCAGTTTTCTGTCCTTGAAAGGTGAATGCAAAAGACACCTTTAAGTGTCAATGTAATGCTGAATTTCTAAAAATGGTAACTGCTTATGGGGGGAAAACACTGCAAAAAATGCTATAGTGACCTACATTTCAAGATACTCACCTCTTTATTACTGTTTCACATGTGTTACTTTCATTCATCTGAAAGTTTAAATTGTGCATCTTTGCTATACTCTTGTATTAGTACACAAAGTTGCTTCAAAATGGTTTTTTTCAAGGCTATGCTGATTGTAGTAATCCAAGCTCTCTGCTCATGAATAGCCAACATGATGGTTGAGTTAACAAGACAAACATTAATGATACCTTGCAAAAGAAAGTAAAAGCAGCTCTGAAAATAAGTACATTTTCTCCATCCACCCTACCTCCAGCGTTCAATGTTACAGGTAAGTAACCTTTCTTTTTGTGGGGGAAAAGTGTGTCATGGTAGGAAAAATACGGTAAATCAAAACAAACTTCCACTTTTTTCTTAGCTTCTGCCACCTCCCTTACATCTGACAATAACCAAGTTAAATCCAAACAAACCCTGTACTGATGTCTGTGAATACTATTACCACCTTTTAGCTGCAGAGAAGTGGGTTACCCTTATTTCAGAAGAACATATGACCTTCATGACAGTCAAATGCCTATGTCCAGGCTGTTGGTTTACAAACTCTGGATTCAATTTCTGTGTGATTTGCCATGGATGGTGATTGTGTAATAATATGTTTTAATAACCACCTTGATTTTCTGGGAAACGCTTGGACTGTTGCAGTTCATGTCCATATCCTGAAACATAAATTTCATAGAACGCAAAGAGACTCAAAGTTTCTTCCATTGCATTCAAGACATCTCAACATTTACTTAGCTTTGGCTACATCATATTGCTGGTTTCCTTCTTGTTTAGGTTATGGATTACCTCATCATGCTTTTTTGAAACAATGTCAGAGCAAAGCCCTGACAAGATGCTGGAGATCCAGTGGCCTGGACCGCTAAACTCTTTCTCCCACAATGCCACTTCCCCATTCTTCAAAGCTATTAGGTTCATCTGAGAGTTAGTCAGTAACTCTCTACAGAAATCATAATTGGAAATTACTCACGCCTCATTCTTTTGTTTGGTTTTGAACCAACGGTCTTGAATGAGGCCCCACATATATGAAAACAAGTCCCTGCAGTAGGACTCCTGTCTCAATTTCAGGAGCCATAGAGGAATTGTCTTCAACAAGAGTAATCCTTTTGATCCCTTTAACTGAAGGCAGAACATAAGACTCAGTCCTCCCACTTCTAACTCTCCTAAATAGCCGCTCAATAGGATTATTGCTTTTTGAAGAGAAGCTTCCTTTGTAAAACAGACTGTAGCAACTGAGCACTATTTTGATGCCTTTTAAAATACAAGCCAGAGCACCCTAACTAACAAATGGAATCAAGTGACAAGTCAATCTTGCTGCCAGCACCATTTTCTATTTAGTGTACAGGACCACAATCATGTCTTGCAGCCATATACTTGTCAAAATCTCTTCTATTCAACTGATGACAAAAATGCTAAGTGTGAGACAACCATGGTAGCAGTGGAGCCTTTGCAATCTATAATTAAATCTTTTCCAGTGACATGAAAGATGACCTGTAAATGATCAGTACCTCAATAAGGTATTGATAACATTCCATTGAAACTAACACGGCTTGGGACTCATATATCGCTTGGACCACCACGGCCTATAGAAGCCCCTGTGCCAACCGAGGTTGTCTGGGATTACCCCATTAAAGACACAAACTGTTAAAAGCTATTTTCCTAATGTATTAGGAAAAGATCTGTTCATGTCCCCCCATCATGTTCTAGAACCCTTTCTGAGTCCCTACAAAATATGATGTGCTTGCAGGGATTCAGGAGGTGATGCAAGGCAGAACTCCTTCAGCAGTCCTTAATTTTCAACCATTGGCATGTGGCAGTGTGCAATTGGTAAAATAATCCTTGGCAAAAACTTTGAACAAATGCGTTGGCTTCTAGCATTACTGAGGTGGAAGGACAAATAACTTTGCAAATGGAAGTCCTCTTTATTCACAAGCCAGGTATAATCCCACAAAAAAACACAAAGTGCACATATCCATATACAGAATTATTAGTGCCATTCAGCCTGATATGCAAGAACAAGAAAACCTGTAGGCATGTCAAAGAAACTGGCACATTATCATATTCAGTGTAAGATCAATATAATTTGTTGGTCTCAAGAACTGAACCATACAGTCTGTTTTCTATACTTCCAAATAATATGCTGTTGGACTTTGGGACAGAAACTACTTTTGCATTTACCTCCCTTCTTTCAGCAGCTGCTTATTTATACAAAAAACTGTATTTACAAAAGAACTGGGCTCTGCCAATCCCAGAGAAGGCTGCAGTCAAGCTTCATTGCTTTCATTATGTTTCCCCACATACGTATACTTTCCTCCTGTGTGTTCCATGTGGTTTATCTGTCACACCAAAATGGTTACCCTTTAAACCAGGAGTGGCCAAGGCACAGCCCCTCCAGATGTTGTTGAACTACAACTCCCATTAGTCCTAACGAACATGGCCAATGGTGAGAAATGCTAAGCAATATTGTCCAGCAGCATCAGGAAGGTGGCACTTTGCTCACTCCTGCCTTAAACAGTGCAACCATACTGGAGAAAACTCCACTAAGTTCTATGGGATTTACTCCCACATAATATTCCAATACATTCTTAAGCCCAAAAGCATCTATGAAAAGCCATGTGCATAAGGGCCATTGTGTTGCAGTTTTTCTTCTCCAGCAGGCTATCCTTTGTGTGGCCAGCTGTGCAACCACTGCATGACTGATCACCTGAAGAAGTGCCTTCCAAAGTAGGGGAACACAACTGCCCTTATGAGGGTCCATAATTGAACAGGCTTCTGGCTTTAAAATGCCACAGATGTCTCGGTGGTATATTGAGTTCCATGAATGGGAAGTCCTGCTAGCAAAATGACACAATATCATGTTGCATGCACAAGCCCTGCTGGTGGCAAGTGGAAGGCAGGTCTTCTTTGTGGAGATCACTGCCTTGTGAAATGGCAGAACTTGTCCCATCAGGAAAAGAGCTCAGTAGGATACTAGCCCTGCTTGTTTCTGCTGGGCAACCCTTTCAGAAATGCCCACATAGTGTTTATAGGACAGGAACCTAAAAGGTGTAGTCTGCATGTGGCAAACACACCAAAACCACCTAGCAAGTCACTGGAAAGTCATTTCTGCCCAGAACATCTTTTGATTAGGTGGAGCTCTAGGCCAGCCTGCTTCGGTATGGAAAATGAGTTATGCCAAATACCAGGGGACTAAAAGCAATCTGGATATGGAAAGTCCTAAATTGGTCCTCCACATTTCCGTTAATTGTGTGCATGAAGCCAGAGATTACTTCAGGAGGCATCATTCACTACCGCATCACTTGAGGATGTGCTTCCTGTCGGACGGCTTGATGCTGGAACATAGCCGAAGAATTAAAAAATTAAAAAAAAATAAATACACCAACTTCCAGATCAAATATTAATTACATGCTAGATAGAATCAATCCTATATTTCAAAGAGAAAAATGTATAAACAAGAAGCTGGGCCTTCAACCAGCAGCAATATAAATCCTCAGTTTTGGAAGGATTATGAAAGATAAATAACCATATCATTGTGAAATAGAAAAATACTGGATTGCATTAAAAACCTCCACTAAGTAAATTGTTAAATGTCACTATGAAAACCCAGTGGCAATGTGCCTTAAAAACAAGATGAATTCTGCATCTTATAAGAGGTTTCTTTGCCTTTTGCTTCTTTTTAACAAATCACATACATAGATGCATGTTCATTAGACAGAAGTTAACATATTTGCTTAAGATACACAGCTGGATACCAAATGTCCTTTGAATGGCATTCCTTTGCAATAACTTCCTGAATACTGTACCAGTTTTCATCTGCACACCCTGATAACCTTTCTTCTTCAGGTTGGCTTGCTGCATATTGTCCTCTGAAGCCACAGATACAGTAGGTGATTGTGGGTTACAGCCTTGTGAGATTTGTTTTCCCCTTCTTCTCAGAATACCAGTTTAGTCTTAACATGATTTAGAGGAAGTGATTCTGGTTTCCAGTCTGGCTGAAAAAAGTGAATATTGAATGTCCGGGCCCAGTTCTCAAACACTCGCTTCTCTGTGATAAAACGATGGTGACTGCCCTTTCTTCCCCGTTCGTGTGAAAGATACATCGTGCATTCATCAAGTCCCAGAGGTTCATAATAATGGTAAGGTACTGAAAGATGCTTAGGATCCCTGCATAAAGACAGATGGAACAGTTGGAAGTTATAGATGTTACTTATGTTACTGACTGCAAAGAAGTACCATTGGAACTAGCAAACTGATGGACTCAAAATCCTCTTTTCATTTCCTTTTTCCTGTTTTTCCAGCTGAAGCTACATTTGGAAAATGCTTGTAAAAACTTATTGAAGCAGTACTGAAATTATTTTACCTAATCTAAGCTAGATATTGGTAATCTAAAGGAAGTTGACCCTTCTGAGATGTCCCAGACTGCTTACACTGGGCATGTAAAGGTTGACAACTTTCACATCTAACTTTGTAGTAAGAACAAAACTGCAGAGGTATTCATGAAGGATGAATGGGATTGCCAAATAGGAAGCTGATCCTAGCCTGTTCATTTGGTGACTCACATTCATATGGAAATCCTGCCAGAATGTCATGTATGATAAAAGCAAGCCCCATTATAACCCCTAGCTGTATCCTGTCAATCAACCATTGTTGCATGACTTTTAACTGAAATGGAACTCAGTTAGCAAAGGAAATAATTTTTAAACAATAGTCACTTTAAATAATACATCTACCTTTGAATATTACAACTTGAGTTTTGGAAAAAGCTGTAGCTCTCAACCCCTTCTATCCTGCAAGGTATGTATAATTCAGTCTAGGCATATAGAACATTCATGCCCAAATGATGCTAATTTTAGCCAAGAACTGGTTCAAATTGCTTTTTCTCTCTGTATCAGCTATACTTCCTTAAAGTGGAAAGTATCTGCATGTAAATTCCAAAAAATATTGATTGAACTGCACTCAAGCTTGATTATTTCTTTTAAGCCTGTAGCTTGGATACAGTTTGCCTCATCACACCACAGACACATCCAATTCCAATAAATAAAAATGAGACAAAATAAAGTCAGCCTGGCAGAATGAAACAAGCACAAAAATGACCACTGCAAAAGGAGAAACAAGGGGAACAATGTGAAACATGTCTGATTATGTACTCTCCCCCCCCCAATGTAACGTACAGCAGTGTGTTTTCATAAATACCACAGTTACAAAAAGAACATTGTTACGAGAATGGAAGTTTAATAAATATAAAAATCAGCATTAACTTGAGGTACATCACCAGTAATTAGTAACAACAGTAATTCACAGTAGCAAATTGTTAATTTTTTCATTGGTTAATGTGTAACGCCAAACTGCATTGCAATTCCTTATTTTGTTACCTAACCACTCTTAATATTTTATTTCTATAAGTGCCTGTTTACCACCAGAATTAAAACTGTCTTTTGCCCTGTTCTAGTCTAGTCTATTTATATCCTGCCTTTCTCGCCAAACAGGGACTGAATATATCTCATGTTGGTGCACACAGCACAAAGCTAGGACGTTGCCAGGAAATGCAAAAGCCATAACAGACGTGCATTGCAATCAAGAATGGTCTTGTGCAGTGTTTTAATTTTATTCTGATATACTCAAGGGGAAAAAAACAGTTTTAATATTAATGTTTTAAAACTTGCTGTACAGAACTGTTGAAAATGTATATAGCACTTTATATATGGAACTAGACATTATAATGAAAAAGGATATACATGCATTTAATTATAAAAAATGTAACAGACATCTGTTTAGATTATTGTACCAAAATTCCATTTTAAACATTGTAATGGGGCAATGATTTCTATATACTGTATTAAATTTTTTTTAAAATTATATTCTACCCTTTCAAGAGATAAGACTCCTGATACAGCTGGTGCTTCACTAAAGTCTAAACAACAACAACAACAACAACAACAACAACAACAACAACAACAACAACAACAATAATAATAATAATAATAATAATAATAATAATAATAATAATGTGCCAGGTCAAGTTAATTCTGACTTATGCTGACCCTTTTCAGAGTTTTTCAGGTAGATAATATTCAAAAGGGGTTTACCCTTCCCTTCTTCTAGGGGTACCCAAGGACCATGAAAGGTGTCCAAGGCCACAAGTTGGCTCTATAATACAGAAGTAAAAAGGAAGTGGAAGGGGAAAGCAAACAGAATTCTTTGAGCTGAGTTGGAATGGCCCTCTTTCTCCAGCCTGATGGAACGAGAAAATGTCCTAGACGTGAAATGGGACCCGTGCAGCCCTCCAGATGCTGTTGGACTGCAACTCCTAAGGCTCCTCATCATTGCCTGTGCCAAGTTGAGATGACATTTTGGACATCTGGTTCAATGTTCCCCTTGCCCCCAGCTTTAGACTGATGAGTTTATTCAATGCCATAAAATGGATAAAGATGCCCTGACCCAAGGAAGAATGATCTGATTGTGGATAGGGCTCGATGCATCGATTTCCTTCCTGGATTTAGTTACTTCAAGAGAGTTCTTCTTGTTTTCAGCTAGCTGTACGTGGGTGCTGTTTCACACACATCGGGCAGCTGCCCAGCGCACAAAAAGCAGGTGGTCTGCTGATCATCCACCCCCATCTATATTATAAGAAACACAAGGGTGCTACTCTGCTTTGTGTTCCTTTCTTTTCCATCTTCATAATGTCACGTACAGCCAGATATTTAGGATGTCAACTTCCAGTAGTGCCAGGTAACATAATCAATGTGCAAGGGTCCAGGGAGGTGTACTCCAAAACACATGGAAGGCGTGAGTTTGGTGGCAAAGACTGGACTAAGATAAACGATGTTGTAAATGATATTGTGACTTTATCTTCACTGGCAACAGTCAGACGTGATGGGATACAGTACTGGAAGAATGTACAGTATGATGAGGTCACATCATGTGTAGAGCATTACTTGGCACACTCCAAGAAAACACAAGACTTGTGGGAGCTCTGTGAGCTTGCCATGTCTTGTTACACTCAGAAGAGCCCCTCCAGTGGTGGAAAGGGACTGGATTTTCTCAGCCAAGTGTTTAAATAATGCAGCCTCTAGTTATAGCTAATGGAAGAAGCATCTGAAATTCTCTTAACTACAAAAAAAATAACAACCATATGGATGAACTGGAAAAAAAATCATTAGATTTTAACAGCTACACAGGGATCATACTAGATCTAACCTGTAGTAATAATCTACCCTCACCCATCTCAAAACCTTGAAGCAATGGCTACACGGTGATCTCTGTCTCTTGGGCCAGATGGCAGTCCCCCTTTAAACAGAACTGGGATAAATTTAAGGATTTTATGACTCTAATTTGAATAGCCCAGGTTAAGAATAGTGTGTTAACTCCCCACTTTGCAATTAAATTTTGATGCTGGCAAATGAAATGCATGAGCAATTTATATGGGGCAGTTGAAAGTCATCCTCATTTATTAATATTAAAACAGATGCTACTTTACTACTCTGTGATACTGGACATTAATCAGTGCTTTGTCAGAGTTAACATTCTTATTAATATCACTGCCAGGAGGTATTTATAGATGGCAATTTGTAAAACATGCTAGCATTTCCTGAAGTCACTGTGCAATATTCAGTTCTTCTGATAGTATATATACTTAGAGCAGTGTTTACAGTACCAGTAATAGGCACAGGAGGAAAAAAAGCTACCCCAGTGTCCCTCTCCCATGCATCAGGGTGAGCATAGCACTCTTGCAGAAATGTATGTGCTACTTGTGGGAGGGAGGTATTATTCCATCTTTGTGGAGAAAATACATTTCGAATTCTTATTATCATGAAAACAATGATCAGGAAAATGATGGATAATCATAATAGGAAAAGATTTAGGGCTTTTATATTTGTCCCTACATCTCCCACCTAGCCCAAGAGCTCAGTCCTAAGATATCTAAAAGGCAGCTCAGTGCAAAATGCATCAGCCAGGTCAGTAGAAAAGTAAATGATGAGTACATCTAGTTCCCTTTCCATGTTAGGGGTATCATGGTCGCAGTATCATAAACAGGGATCAGAACTTCTAGTGGAAAGTTTCATCCAGCTTTATGCTAAAAGTGTTAGGGTGGTTGGGTTGATAATCTCCAAGGTTCGGATATATGCATTGAGAAATGATATCTGGGATTTTTCCAGCTGCTAGAGCCAATGATCTTATCAAAATGCTGTTGGGGTGTGGAATGGAGAGATGACCCAGGAGGCTGAAGGGACAGTTCCTAAGTGCATTCCCTCAAGACACACAGTGCAGCTTCCTTCCTTTTCTCAGGAGCTTTGAACAGTCAATCAGTTTGATAGACAACTAGCACAATGTGGGAGAAAACGTGAATCCTTACCGCAAGCAGCTTACAGTCTGAGTGAGGAGGATGTCTTATCACTGTCTGAAGAGATGCCCTCTTCCCCATTCACACCACAGGCTGCACTGGCCACAGGCAGGAACTCATTATAATGCTTGTGATCATGGCAGCAAAGAAGCTGTTTGTCAGCACAGCATCATCCAGCTGTTTCAGGTGGAGAGGGGGCATCATACTCCAAGCCTCACAGTAGTGTCAGTAGTGTCAAGCTACTATGATAAATTTGGAGAGCAGTGAGAGCAGCCTTTGTGATAGTAACTGAAGGGATCCACTCACGCAGGTTAGATGATGAGTTTAACCTGGTTTAGCCCAAGGATGTGGACGAGTTGGTTGGACAAGCGAATCCACTAGCTTGTTTATTGTACTCCCTGTGAGGCTGGAACAAGATGCCAGAGAGAATTGCCAATAGTGTGGTGGAGACTATGAACATGTCTTTGAAAGACGGCTGGGCTCTAAGTAATCTAAGTGAAAGTGATGTAAGAGAGACCAAAGAAGCTACAGTTCAGTTCTGTCACTCTAAATAACTATTGACCATCTTTCAGTCATCCTAGAATAGGTAGCAGCTGTATATACGCTTTCTTGGATGAAGCCGATTATGTGGTTCTTTCCAATCTGGCTGTAAACTACCTTGTTCCTTGAAAATGCCTTTAGCAGATGAACCATCTCAAGAAACAGACAGGGCAGAGAGCACCCCCTTTTGGATCTTGTGAGCCCCTCAGTCATGGAATCCTTCCAGGCGTGTTTGGCTAATATGGAACTGAAAGGTACAATCTGGCAAGGGCTCTAATCTTCCTTGGCTCGGCATTAACAGGGATGGTGCTGGATGATTGCTGCTCTTTTTTCTGCTTTGTTCCTTATACTTGTTCACATCGACACAAAGACATTGGGGAGATTCATCTGGGACTGTAGGGTTGGAGCTTGCCACAATATTGTTGATAACCCAACAATCTCTCTCTTTAAACTGATGCCATGGGTGTTGTGTGGATGCCCTGAATCATTGCCTGGTTGGTTCACAACAGTGAACATAGTGACAGACCGGATGTGGTTTAAGTAGATAAAGCTCAATACAGACAATGTGGTTCTGTTACTTTTTCTGCATAGGACCTCTCTCAGGTGAACCAAACACCTCATCAGATGGCTGCTGTGGCCAGGATTCCCTTTGTCTAGTCATACCCCTGCCTGGAGAAGACAAATTTGATCATACTGATCTATCCCTTCATCTCATCCTATCACCAAGAGGGAGGCTCGGTGGGGAAAGGGCCTTTTCTGTGGCAGCACCCTAATTTATAAAACAATGTCCCTGAAGAGGTCAGATTAGTCCCATTTTCGTTTAGTTACAGGTACAGTACTTCATACAGACTTCCATTTAGACTAATTTTTGATGAGTGTTAAATAGCCTTCTGGATGTTTAAAAGTAGCTTGCTGTGACTATTTGGATACAACATTGCTTTTACAGTTACACTATTGCCTTAGGAGCCCTATTAGGCTAGAAATTTTTTATCAGGAGTGCCCATTAATTTTAATGTATTATTATTTGGATGCCATGACAGAAAATTCTGGGAAGGAAGAAGCATATTCTCAGTGACTGTTAGTCAACTTAGGAACTCCCACAGGATACTAACTAAAACCTTTAGAATGATTTACAGACATTGTAATGTAATCTGTATTTGAGACTTGGGGTGAAGTCAATAGAGAGTTGGAAGTGTTAGCGTACCTAATTGTTTAGTTGTTAATTGTGTGTGTGTGTGTGTGTGTGTGTGTGTGTGTGTGTGTGTGTGTGTGTGACAGAGAAAGGAAGAAGATCTTTCATTTACTTATTTCCGCAAGCTAATTGGGGTGAAGCAAAGTATAAATGGAAATGAAATGTAATTTGAAGTCTATTTTAAGATAGTTCCAATGATTGTAACCCAAGGGTTTTTAAATATAGCTTTCATAATTGAGTTCCTGAATGTTGATCGCATAAGCAAGATCCACCATGGCTCAACCCACACTGATATCTTCCTGCTGTTTGCATATAATAGGCAGAATCCCTCTTCCACCCATAAAAAGGTTATAGTGAAAATTAAAAGTAGTGCAGGGTATACTGCTCGGAATGACAAGCCCTGTGAAGCAGACCCATTGCTGCTGGCTAATTAGTCACATAAACTATCCTAAAATTCCTTCACAAAAAGGAATCTGGTTTTTTGAAAATTGCTTAAACAATCCCCCCCCCGCACTGCTTTCCCCCATCAGATTAATTTCATGCCCACTGCAGCATTTTTAAGTTAATAAATATTCAGGAAGTAAAAGGAGCTAACAAGATGTGGATTAATTCTCTTGCAGTACAAACAAAAACTTTTAATAATTTATGCAACATAATTAAATGCTGTTTGTTGTTTTCAGAACCCAATCAGGGGACCGGCTAATTAAGAGCTTCAGGAAAACCACAAACATGTTTTATAGATGGCATAAATAGATGCATGTATTTATCCATAATGCTGAGGTTTGCAAGGTAATCACAATACTAAAAATTACCTGCAGAAATCTGGTGGTACCATCCCATAGACATCTACCCGGTCACACAGTTCTAATGCGATACTCATTGTGAACCAGCCTGTGCTAAGCCAAGTGTTGGAGATCTTCCTGAAAGCAAAAAAAGAATTAAGTTCTCAGGGTGACAAATAATACTTTTGATAAGTTAATGTTGGGGCAGGTGCTTTTTTAGCTATCTATTAAAATTCATAGGAAAGGTTATAAACATTAGCCAGCCAACATTTACTGTACTCCCCCACCATGTAATAGACTTAGCTATGTGTTTCTGATTGCAAATAAATGTATCTGGTAATTGCATTTTTCATTTTAATATCAGAGACAAAAGTGGTTACTATTTATCTGAGCCCTTTGTTGAATAATAGTCAACTTCAAGCTGTGTGCTTATATTACTCCCACTGATTAAGGGGGAAGAGAAAGACTTCCTATCTGTACCTAGTTAGTGGAAGAATTATTACAGGAAAAGGTATTTTATACCTTATCATGCTCATCAGTATGTAAAATACTAATCTTGCAGTGATACAATTTAACAATTCCACGGTGGCATATAAAAATGCCTGAGGACCAAATAAATGTGTTTCTAGTAATGGACGAAGTCACCAATTACATCTGCTTATACCTGGAAAATCCTAGAAAGCATCCCCAAAAGTCAGAATCAGCTTGATGGCATACAGTTACATAGCACTGCGATATATCACTTCAGTATCACAAATAGAGTAGAAATGATTTGGAAACCTCCTCAACTAGCACAAGCTGTTGCTTGTTTTAGGACAAGCCACATCCTATTAAGGAACCATCACAACCATTATTCTGTCACATGGATTAGGCTTCAAATTACATTTATATCCAGCCACCCCTTTATCTTCACAATAAGCCTGCATGGAAGGTAAGGATGAGAGAGAGTGAAGCCACTGGCTCAAGATCATCTACTGCAGTGGTCCCCAACCTTGGGCCTCCAGATGTTCTTGGACTACAACTCCCAGAAGCTTTCACCACCACCTCTGCTGGCCAGGATTTCTGGGAGTTGAAGTCCAAGAACATCTGGAGGCCAAAGGTTGGGGACCACTGATCTACTGTGTTTCATGGCTCTCTGGGAAGCTGAACCTGGATTTTCCAAGTTGTGGACCAACATGCTAACTGGTACACTACACTGGCACTTTGTTGGGAAGGTAGTGGGTTCCCCTTGACAAATGTCCAGTCATGTCTGACTTTAGGGGGCAGTGCTCAACCCCGTTTCCAAGCCATAGAGCCTGTGTTTGTCCATAGACAGTTTCCATGGTCGCATGGCCAGCGCAACTAGACACAGAATGCCGTTGCTGGGAAAGTATCTTGAGAATTGGGTTAGTTAACAGTGTCTTTCCAAAGAACCCTACCTATGTCAGGTTCCCTGGACTGTCTTATGAACAGCATCATTTTAGACTCAATGTACAGAAGCTGAACAAGTATCATAGTACACTTGATAATAAGTTCCATATAAATGTTATCAGAATCTAGTTCTGAGAAAAGCTACCATCACTACAACAAAGTGAAGAGATCAAGATGGATTTCCCCTCCTCCAGATAAACAATACATATCATTCATGTGGTGATATGTGCAAATCCACCTGAACTTGTTATTCCTGTTGCCTTACCATATTTTTGTGGGTTTATGCTTGTGAATGTTGAATGAAATTTTGGCCACGTATTAGGAAAGTCAAACATCTAAGTGTTCATCAGTAAAGATTTTGTTTCCATGGATACCAAAACCTTCTACATTTCTAACCGGAACATTTTAGTTCTTCAGTGTTTTCAGACTAAGCTATGAGAATTTTCTGATACCTGTCAGGAAGTTAAAGCTCTCATACTTTTTCTCAACAAGAAGAGACATGCATAAGATTTGGCTCAGAACAGAAACAACCTTAATGGAATTACTAACTCCAGAACTGCTTATGCAGCTCAGATTGAGTCTCCACTAGTCCAGTATCATGAGACACATGTAACAAGTTGGCTGAAAGACGGTTGCCATTAAGTCATGCTGCACAGGGCTGGTGACATCGGCAACAAGAGCAATTTTTCAGAAATTCACTTTTCCAACTTCTGTCCCAAAGCTCCCGAGGCTCGCATGCAATCCATTTTATCACTGGGAAGCTGCAGGATATGTTGGAACAGGAGATGGAAATCTTTAATTACTGAAAATCACTGCCAGCCAGTAAAGTCATTTTGGCATCAGCAATTTCAATAAACAAAGACTCCTGTCCTTGGCTTCTCAATGATGAAACAGATTCCTGGGGAGCCTCAGGGCAGAGGTTGGAAATGTTTTATTTCCAAAATACTGCAAATGCTGCTGAAACTATTAGCTTTATGCAGTGTAAGTTATGCCAACAGGATTTCAGCTCTTTGTAAATCTGCAGGAGTTGGCCAATTGCCTCCATTTGTTAAAAGTAAGGTTTTATGTAACTACCCTATATTACCTATATGTTTCACCTTCAATCATTGGCTGGAATCTTGTTGCACAACTTTATGCCATCCAACATTGACGACATCACCACCCATAGCCATTTTGGAAGTTCTGAAAGGTCTCAGGGGATAAGGAAGTAACCTAGAAAACCATGTAAGGACTTTTAAATTTTAGTTTCTCTCCAGTGATGCCACCTACTCTCACAATCTTTTGAATTTCTATAAGAACTAAAAGAAGGTTCTTGTAAAAGATCTCCTAGTTTTATATCTACTAAGTTGTAAACAAAGAAAATGAAGTCATGCCATGGGCTTATTAGGGAAAATCATATACTCTTTTATGTGATGAAGTAACACACTGTCCTGATAATTCTGTGGAGCATACTAAATTACAATTAAAGGCCTTTCTGCTCCATCACAATCTCATTTATAATCTCTGTGGAAATGCTCTTCCTGCAAGTTATTTCATTTATGCCTCTTTTATCTAATTACTGTAATATTGGTTCTGAATCATATTTTCTTAATGGACCTTTATTCAATTATAAACTTATTCTCAAGTACAGTTACTCTGTAATATGAAACTATATTATTCTGCAGCTTGTGTCATTTGCTATCCAGTTTAATTGCTGGTATTTTCTAAATGTCTTCCTACATGTTTAAAATAAGCATTTTTAATAGGGCATAATGCATCAGTTTGTCTTTTCAAGTGCAGCATTAAATATTATTATATAAACTGAGATATCAGCAATTGTAGCTCTGCATGGAATCATAGAATTGAAGAGCTGGAAGGGAGCCCATAGTTCATCAAGGCCAATCCCCTGCCAAAGCACAAAACCCACAGCAAAAGCATCCCTTATGGATGACCAGCTAATCTGTCTTTCCACTGTCAAACAGCTCTTACTGTCAAAACATTCTTCCTAATGTTATGGTGAAATTTCCTTTTTTATAATTTGAATCAATTAAGGAGGATTCAGACCAACCGAAACAAGTTCAGAGGAGGGCAACAACAATGACCAGATGCCTGGAAAGCAAGCTCTATGAGGAATGACTAAAAGAACTGAGTGGGAGATATAATATTGCTTTTCAAATATTTGTAAGATTGTCATACAGATGAGGGGCAAGATTAATTCTCAATCATTCCAAAGTGCTGGACACATACTAATGGGTCAAGTTACAAGAAGACAGATTTCAGCTGAATGTCAGGAAATACTTCCTAACTTAATGTAATACAGCAATGAAACCAATTACTTCAGGAGGTCGTGAGCAGTCCAGTGCTAGAGATACTGAAGAGAAAATTGGACAACCATCTATCAGACATAGTTTGATTTGGATTTCTGCATTGAGCAAGGGGACAGATTTGATGACCTTATAGGCACCTTCCAACTATTCTAAACTTCTGATTATTTTCAGCAGTATGTGGAACGAGAACTCCCAGAAGTACAAGCTGGATTTTGAAGGGGCAGAGAAACTCAGGACCAAATTGCTAACATGCACTGTACTATGGAGAAAGCCAGAGACTTCCAGAAAAACATCTACTTCTGCTTCATCAACTACGCAAAAGCCTTTGACTGTGTGGACCACAGCAAACTATGGCAAGTCCTTAAAGAAATGGGAGTGCCAGACCACCTTATCTATCTTTTGAGAAATCTAATTGTGAGACAGGAAGCAACAATTAGAACAGGATATGGAACAACTGATTGATTCAAAATTGGGAAAGGAGTACGACAAGGCTGTATATTGTCTCCCTGCTTATTTAACTTATATGCAGAATACATCATGCGAAAGGCAGGACTGGAGGAATCCCAAGCCGGAATGAAGATTGCCAGAAGAAATAACAATGTCCGATATGCAGATGATAGATTAAGATTTCTGATGGCAGAAAGTGAGGAGGAATTAAAGAACCTCTTAATGAGGGTGAAAGATTAGAGCGCCAAAAATGGTCTGAAGTTCAACATCAAAAAACCCAAAATTATTCCCACTGCCCCTATCGCTTGCTGGCAAATAGAAGGGAAAGATATGGAGGCAGTGACTTTCTTGGGTTTCATGATCACTGCAGATGGAGACAGCAGCCACGAAATTAAAAGACGCCTGCTTCTTGTGAGAAAAGCGATGACAAACCTAGACAGCATCTTAAAAAGCAGAGGCATCACCTTGCCGACAAAGGTCCGCATAGTCAAAGCTATGGTTTATCTAATAGTAATGTATGGAAGTGAGATTTGGACCATAAAAAAGGCTGGCCGCCAAAGAATTGACGCTTTTGCATTGTGGTGCTGGAGGAGACTCTTGAGAGTCCCCTGGACTGCAAAGAGAACAAACCTATCCATTTTGAAGGAAATCAATCCTGAGTGCTCACTGGAAGGAAAGATTTTGAAGTTGATTTGAAGTTGAGGCTCAAATCCTTTGGCCATCTCATGAAAAGAGAAGACTCCCTGGAAAAGATTCTGATGTTGGGAACGTGTGAAGGCAAGTGGAGAAGGTGATGACAGAGGACAAGATGGTTGCACAGTGTCAGAGAAGCTATCAACATGAATTTGACCCAACTCTGGGTGGCAGTGGAAGACAGGAGGGTCTGGCGTGCTCTGGTCCATAGGGTCATGAAGAGTCGGACACAACTTAATGACTAAACAACAACAACAACATGATTATTTTGGGTCATATCCTCTGAAACTACAGAAGACAAGTTTGCTCCATCTTCTACAGTATGTGCAGCCCTTCAAACGTTATTACACCACTACTGACCTCCCTTAATTACTTCAAGATAAGTCAATTTGTTTTTCATCCAAGTACTTCATGTGTACATCAGGCCCATTCTGTAGCCCCAATTTCAATATTACTTAGAACAATGTTTATAACAAATAGAAAAATAGATTATGCATGTAAAAGCTGCAGTCATCAGACATGGGGACATACAATTATTGTATGGATAAAGCAAGCTATGAGGATTAAGATAGCCCTGAACCCTTTTCCAAAGGATGTTCTGGACAGAGAAAATAGAGTTTAACTTGGGTTCAAATTCCCAATCAGCCATGAGTCTAGTCACGAAGAAAGTCACAATTTCTCCACTCTAACTGTAAAATGGATACTTGAGTAACCTTGTTTGGGGAGAGATACTAAAGGATACTGAAAAAGCAGTTTTAGGGATTGATACACTAATATTGGAGAAGAGCTGTTTTTAAATAATGAGTAGCCTGCCTCTAGAAGGTACTAATGATGTCATTAAACATGCGACCCAAGATGCTTATATTAAAGGCTGCTCTATAAAAGACCCTTAGCTTATGATCTCATAGCTGGCCACTTTCACCTTGAACTGTTCACTTAGCTGTAGTACTGCTACAAGCATTACTGCTAGTCAACCTCTAACTAGAGATGCTGCTGCTTTCTGGCCTCAAGGTGAATTGTTGACCACCTCAGCAGATGTTCACTCCCCTGTCATCTTGATTGGGCCTCTGAAACACTGGCCACATATGTAAGGGGGGGGGGGTAAAGTGGGAAATCAAACTCCCAAACTCCGGCTCTTTAGCCAGATACCACAGCAAGGGAAGGGTCCTTTGACATGATGTTCTTTTCCTGCTTCATAAGCCATGGCTTTGTGATTTACCACACCTTTTAAGGCCAGGAATGACTGTGCAAACTTAGGCCAGTTGTAGCAAGTTGAACTCCGTATGATTCATAAACTACTGATTTGATCACTGTCACAGTCTGTCCAGGTTTTTAAAAAGCATGGGAAGTTGTGTTCCTTTTGAACTGAAATAGTTATCTGAAGCATACAGCAGTCTTGGATCCAGAACATATACTTTCACATCCGTAATATTTCACAAGATTTCAATTGAGGATAATGGTGCATTGAAATGAAAAGAGCAGGTAACTTTGAATTGGATTCATTCTTCTCCAAAGTGAGCTCTTAATCTATACATAAATGTGTTAAGTAGTACTTGTGCCATCATCATATATTCAATATGAAAAACCATAATGAACACATAAGTAATAAAAATAAATGCATCTTTTGTAGGGGGCTGAGGAATCTCATTTCCAGCAGAGAGTCTCTAAAAACATGTTAGTCATGTAGAGGGTCACTTATTAAAAAATTGATTTGAAGATGTGTTTGTAAGCCATAAATGGGATCATAAAGGAGGTAAGTATCATAATAAGCTGCCTTTTCCCAGTTGGAAGTGGAGGATGAGCACTTCAGAAGCACCTAATGTATGAATAATGTGTATTTGTTTTACATGAAGCTTTACTGCTGCAATGTTCCAAGAATGCTTATACTCAATAAGTAGCCATTATAATTCACAGAATGGCAGCACTGCCGTTATAAAGCAAAGCCCATCAATTCTAATTTCTCAAAACCCATAAAATCTGCTTTCAGATATATTACCTAAGTAAGATTTAGACTTTGCATCTACCTTCTTGCTACGCTGCTCTGAAATTCTCCATGCTTATGGCATGCAACACAGACTAATTCTAGTATTCAAAGTTGATATCTAAATATATGACTATGTTTTTGTCACACTGAGAACATTATTATTATCTGACACATAAAAATTTATAGTTTATCTATATTCCACCCTAATGAAGGCCAAAAATGTATCTCCAATATATTATTTTACAGTTGTTTCCTTACCGGTCTTTTCCTGTTTCACGTTTGAAGAGATCATCAAACTGAAGCATCTTGTGCCGGGATATCATATATACTTTTAACTGAGGTAGTATCTGATTCATCAGTTGTAAATTATTATAAATCAGTCCTTTCCCATCTCTTCTCATATAGATGCTGGGACCCCAGAAGATAAATACAGTCCCTTGGCTCATATTTAACAGTTCATTGCGATTTCGCAGAATTCTCTGAATACTGGAGTGAGCGATAACTCGCAGGCTTGTCTTGTTTCCGACATCTTTTCCAAAACCCCGTGTGGGTGCATCGTTCATTCGTATTACACACTCTGTCTGGTCAATTTTGTTGCCTTGCCGACTTCGCAAAAGGTGTCCGGAGCTTGTTACAAGAGCACAGCTTGCACAGTGCATTTTCAGAGGCTGCGAAGAAAAAGATGTCTCAGTATCATATAAACTCCTGTCCCTGGAGAAATAAAGAAGCATAAGGAAACACCATAAAAATGAATGTGAACCTTAATGATAGGATTCCCATATCATTAAATAAGGTGAACCCCTTCTTCCCCAACTCTTGCAAGAGTTCATGAGCACAACTCATAGAATAGGTTTCATGGAATTCAGCTCATGCTGGAGTTGGAGAGCGAGAAGTAAACTTTGCAACACCTCCTTCCTTTGCAGTCTATGCCTCCTTAAAGGTTGCTCTGGGAGGACAGACAGGCACTCAAGAGCAGCATGAGAGGCACAAGGGGTGAATCATTGAAGTCGGAACTCTTCTGGCCAAGCAGTGAAACCTTTCCCTATACTTTTCAAATAGAAGATCAGTGTTGCCACACAGCTACCAGGAGCAAGCAGAAGGATAAGGAAATACGTAATCTTTCTTCTAACACAATTCAACACTTTACCATCTGATAGTCTTTCAGAATTAAAACTTTTAACAGCAACTCCATCGCTTGTTAGGTTAGTAAAAAGTGCACTGGGAGAGATTATATGTGCCAATTTCCTTCACAAAAGTAGGAGATTGGTAACATGACTGAGATCAGGAAAATCAACGTTTATATAAACTGTGTTTACTGCATTATGCCCTGTGTCCCTGAAAATAAGACCTAACCTGAAAATAAGCCCTAGTATGATTTTTCAGGATGCTTGTAACATAAGCCCTACCCCCCAAAATAAGCCCTAATTAAGCGAAGCCCACCTTCCACCATTGTGCAGCAACTAGAAGAAGATGGCATGACTGTATTTGAATAAACGTAGATTGTACATGGAAAAAAAACCATCCCCTGAAAATAAGCCCTAATGCATTTTTTTGGAGCAAAAATTAATATAAGACCCTATCTTATTTTTGGGGAAACACGGTATATAGTTGGTAGCATTAACACTTAAACCAGAACTGAGGACGTTCTGAGGGTGTTTCCCAGTTATAGAGTTTTTTTAAGTCACTAATTCCCTAACCTGAATATAAATGAACACCGAGTCCAAATGTGAAACTGAAACTGTAGTTTATTTTTGAATTCTCTATGACAGATGCAGTTTGGTGGTTATTCAGTTAAAGTCAGAGTATGTATTTTATAACAGGATTTCTGATTTTATATATCAACATGAACTCTATCTACACAGTCCTTCAACAACCACAGTGCTCAGTAAATAGCCAGTTCCACCTAGAAAGTCTGTCTGCTATAGTGTTCTTGTTTTCTAAAAGCACCTTCTATAACCTTTACTTAGTCAGAGAAAAATTGAGATGTTGGCCATATCTGACCAATTTTGTCTCAGCTAAAACAACCAGATGTTTCCAAGTTAAGTCCTCCCTCATTTCACTGTTATCCAAAAAACTCACTTCTTTATAGACCCAGCTCCATCTGGCTGCCTTGCCTTTCAAGTACAATCTAAACTCTATCTGCTAATTAAACTGTCAGAATCTCCATTCTAAATCTCCTTCTCCCACCTGATTAGCTATGGAATTTCTTTGTTGTAACTAGCTAAAAAGCTTTCAGAAAAATGGACATTGCAATGAAGACCTCCTGTCTCCGAGCTTTGGTGCTCAGTAATTTTAGAACATTTTTTGTGACATCCTGACAGGGGCATGCACAAAAAATAGTTCCCTTCTTCCTTGCCTCCCTCCAGTAATTCCTTTGATACTTGGATAGTACATCCACTTATTAAATAGTCTAGGTACTGTTACCAAGATGCCCTTCCAGAAAATTACAGGTCTCCCAATAAGCAAAGAACATTGCAAGGATTTTAACAGGTAGTTAACTTCCTTTGGCTTAAATCCAATTGTTAAGCCTGATTAGAGTAGCTCCAAGGAAGCAATGGAATTTATATTTGTATTGATTTAACATGTTTCCATTGATTCTCATTGGGACAAGCAATGTAGGATTTACTGCCTCCAAGTCAAAGAAACCTTAGCTGATTTGAGATCTTTCTTATTCTAACCTCAGGGTCCCCATGGAACCATTCTGCAACCACAATTGGTTTTTTGAAATTATCTTTGTAATTTTGTGAACAGGAAAAAAAAAAGGTTATATCCTTCCATGCAGATTCCGTGAACATAGTCTTATGGGATGAAACTCTGGGTTAGTGAAGTTAACAAATTGTATAAATTGTCTGGGTTGATGCATTATTTTTATCTATATTTTACTGTATTCCTTATTCCAAAATGACAAGCTGACCCTTGATCCCATGCCTTTAGAGGAACCTTCCCTGTAATTTCATTTAAAAAAAAATAAAGCAAAAAATAATGCTTGTTAGGTAGTACTATAGCACAAATCATTCAATTCAGAATTAATTTCCTAATATATTTTGCCCAATTACACTTTCTTTCTCCTGAGCACCATGCCAAGGTTTTGTAGATTTAATTTCAGGGTCTTTCACAGAAGAAGTACTTTCTTAACTCTCTCTACTAAAGGGAGAATAATCAGCAATTATTTAAACCACACAGTAGAAATCCAGGTTAAACCACAGAACTCAGCTATTATAGGATTACTTCAAGAATATATAAGGTTGAAAAATACTTTGGGGTCTTCATGAAATGGTAGGGGAGGGTTCTGTCAGGGATTGGTCAGAAACACAGAAGAATGAGTTGATCATTTGGATTCCTGGTACTGAATTGGCTTGATTCACCCTCAATGATGCTATCATATACATTAACTGCATGATCTCCAATCGCTCAAGATTATTACAGTGGTGCCTCGCTTAATGGATGCCCCGTTTTCCCCCAGCTGACCAGCGGGGGCTTTGGAAGGACCGTCGGGGAGGTCCCCCCCACGCTCCTTCCCAAGAGCCGCCCGTCAGCTGCCTGAAAAAGCCACGGGCGCTTTGGAAGGAGCGCAGGGGAGACCTCCCCGGTGCTCCTTCCCAAGAGCCCACCCATCAGCTGATCGGTGGTTACAAAATGGCCACTGGATCAAGAAAATGGCTGCCCGCAGCATTTTTGCGCCCTGCCCTCACTTACTGAGGCAGCGAAAATGGCGGCCGGATGTGGACTCTTCGCTTACCAGTGAGTTTTTCCCCCACAGGAATGCATTAAACAGAGTTTAATGCATTCCTATGGGGTTTTACTTTCCGTATAGCGATGTTTCCGGATAGCGACGTTTTTCCTGGAACAATTTAACGTCGCTATGCAGGGCACCACTGTATCTCCAGAAAATGAAGACTACCTATATGTTGGATTTCCCCACACTCGCTATGCGGGGCACCACTGTATTTCCAGAAAATGAAGACTACCTATATCTTTAGAACCTCATATACCAGGACAGGGCATTTTAGCTCTACAGAATCATGCTTTTGTTCCAGATTTCACACAGAAGAGTAGGCATTTTATGACATTCTCATCCTTTTTCATCCTTATGCCATAGATAGGGGGAAAGGAGCTGATAAATAAGGAAGTTTGGGAAACATGGGCATAAGTTTGCTTCTGTCATTAGCTGCCTTGAACACTTGATAGTACCTTTAGATGTACTGCACTCATGCTGACTAGAGATTAAAGAAACTATTGTCCAAGATGCTTTAGAAGAAGGTATAGTTGAACTTTTGAACATGAAGGAATATATACAGTATGTAGCAAAACAAAGATTTGTAGAACATTTCACAGACACAGAGATACTGAAAGCAAGAGTTTTATCCACTAGCCAGTATAATGGAACAGCTGGATATGAGTTGACAGACTGTTTCTACTGGTGGAGCGAACCAGATTCCACTGAAGCCTCCAAGATGTGCAAAGGGAATTAAGCAGGTGTTTTTGCTGATTTGTTCCTTCCCCTTGCAGCCCTGAAGTTCTATCATAGGCACTGAACGGAGACATTTTTGGCATGGAAGGTACAGGAACACGGGAGAACTGGCAAAAAGTGAATGCATGTTGTCCTTGTTTAACATTTAAGGTGTCGTCAAATCTAGTCTTAAGCTGCCGCTATCAAAGAGAGAATTTATTTTATATGACCTATGTTTTTACAAGTTTGCTGATAAATATGTTTGATTAAAAGTAGGTTTATTAATACACAGAACTAATAATTAATCAAAAAAATCCTGATGAGTTTCACACAAATTGTAAAAGGAGGCCAAAATGCAGCTGATTTTGATGTGCTGGAGCCTAGTAAAAATGATAGCTAGTTGAAAGAATCTGATTCTGCCCTCATGACATTCTGACCTAGATGCCTGTTTGTCTTACACACACACAGTTTTTTTAATCAAAATACCCGTATTTTTTGCTCCATAAGACGCACCTTTCCATAAGATGCACCAATTTTTTAGGAGAAGAAAACAGGAAAATATAATCTGTTTTCTTCGCTCCATAAGACTTTCCACCCCCATTTTGTGGGAAAAAAGTGCGTCTTATGGTGCGAAAAATACGGTAACTATTTTTATGTGAAGTTAAAATAACTCAAGGCATTGCAGAGGCAACTGAGAAACCTCCCATTTTCTAGTGTATAGAGATATGGATGTCCTTCAAACAATGTCTTTCAGATTCAAAACTGGTTGCGACAAGTAGTTCCAGCTCATCTGTATTTGTTTGCTTGGCTGTAGTACAAATGAGTACACTTTTCTGATGAGCTGTCACGCCGGTTGTGCTCAAACAGTGGGTGAAATAAAGGACAGCACCTGCCTTGATATCTAGGTGAATTGCACAACACTGCCACTATGTCAAATCTCCCCAAACAGCTGATCAAGAATACTCTAATTTCATAGGTTGCACAGTGTGTACATACTCCGCAACAGTAAAATCAAGACAAATTGTTTATGTTGTTTCAGCAACTCTAAATACCACAAATGTCTTTTGAATATGGAAAGCTATTCTTGCATATTCAGCACTAAAAGGTTGGAACTACAGAGTAGTGAGTATATTCAATTTATGACAGACGGCTCTTAATACCTTATAAAATTAGCTCCCATGATTTCCTACAGCAGTGAATTATCTATGTGTCATTAGA